GTTTCCCGTTTGCGTGTCGATCCCTGCATCTTCCATATACTCGTATTCGTAGAACTCCGAGATATAGGTGGTGGCACGCCGCCTCTTCGTCAGGAACTTCTCATGAATGTTTTTGCTCTGGGGGAAGGCCTTGTCCTCTCTTCCACGGAAACTCCAGCCGCCTTCTCTCGAAGGACGACATGCTATCCAAATGCTATCAGGTCTTTTGGATTCTTCCGATTTCTCCCAAGGGGACCAATCGATATTTATGTTTTCGTCTGGTATTCTGAATTCATCAATGAGGAAGTGGACTATCTTCTCCTCTTTGACATGTTCCTTCTTTTCATCTCCCTTTTCGTTTAGCGCAGCAAGGATAATGGCCTCTTCAAGCTCTTCATAGAACACCTGACACTCCATATTTGCAGCCGTGGTTGTTTTCTTCTGCTGTTTCAAGAAGTCCCACACATCCAGGACGTGCACATCTGGATTCAGCGAATGATTGGAGATGAAGGAGNTCTTTTTCTCCTTGCCGATTTGCTCTCCAAATGATTTCTGAAAGTCGTATTCGTGAACCGTGAGCGACGTGGTCTCTTCCTTCTGCAGGAGCGCCTTCAGAGGGGCATGCACGCTCCTCACCGCCAGCTTAGCTCTGATGACGTTATCGTTTTCCTTTTTTCTCTTGTTCTTCTCCGACTTCGCAGCAACATCCTCCCTTTTGCCCTTCTCATTCGGTTCCTCCTTTGGGTTGTCTGCGGACGAGACTTTGTCATTCGTTTTCTCATTCCCCAATTCCTTGGTGACGAACGTGTCTTCCAGGAAGTAGACATAAGGGACGAAATACGATCTCGAATTCCACTCGCTGAAATGCTCCTCGACGAATTTCGTCGCGGCTTCGTTCAAGGGAAGCACGTGCTTCGGGGTTCCCGTTAGGATCGTGGGGATATAAGTGCTGATAGATTCGTTCTCCGATGCTTCCTGATCCTTCTTCACCTCACCAAGAGTGTTGCCGAGGAAGGGCTTGAACTTTTCGCAGAAGACGCATACGGGGGGTTTCTAAGGAACAGAACAGAATTGCAGTTAGTTCTTTTCTGCTTCCACAAGAGAAAGTGTCTTCTAATTGTATTGCTGTAGGATATTGCAATACAGAAGGAAACTGGCAAACACCATCATCAAATTATTTGCTTTCCTGGGCATATTCGGTCCCTCATCAGTTCTTTCACTGCCAGCAAAAGGCATGCATGTGGAAATAAGTTTTTCTTGCCTGAACAACTTGTTTCCTTGATAAAATTTTGGGTGATTCAAAAAAATGCTCAACCATTTGCTATGGGAGAAACACAGTTCCATCATTGCAAACCAAAAATATACGTTCGCTATGCGATCGACTTTGGACTGTTACAAGGTGTTGAGATGTATGTCAGTTTTTCCTCAGTTCCCCTGCCTTTGTCGTGGAATGTTCATTTAGAGATGAATTAAAGGTGCTTAGAGGGGAATCATTCCACTTTCATGTGGGATAGCGATCTGTGCTCGATCACCTCAGAATTCAATTTGGAAGAAAATCTGCAGACGGTCGGATTTGTTTTAGGATAGTCCACAGAGAAGAAACACTTGTCGCAACGTCGACTGGAGACAGGGAAAAATATGTTTTCAATTAATCATGGAGGCAAAGAATGGCCCCTAATCCCCACACGTTAAAATCCTGACCACGCAGTTATTATAATGTCACCACCATATATTGATCGGCTATCCCTCACGGAAAAATCCTATAGGATCCTATGAGATTTTTAAAGCATAAAAATCGTATAGGATTCCTATAGGATTTTTATAGGAATCCTGTAAGATTTTGGTAGGATCCTATCAGATCCTATAAATTTCCTATAGGATTCCTATGGGAACCTATTTGGAATCCTATACGATTTTTATGCTTCAAAAATCTCATAGGACCCAATAGGATTTTTCTTAAGGGATACCTTTTCAAAAAACGGTTGGATGCATCTGATACTTGATAGAGAAGTTAATGAGTCCAAGAGGTGTTTCTCACATCCGTAAGAAGCCACTGCATGTCGATAGAGTACGCTGCTGTCTACCAGAGGCCCCCCCCCCCCCATCTTCATGCTGCATCCCCTTTTAGGTATCCTTTAGCCACTTTTTTCAGCCTTTGATCGTCACACTAGCCTCTCTCCCAAATAATATCAGTCACTTATGAGAGCCCTTTCAAAAGATTTGGTCTTGAAGCCAACTTAAATGATAATAATTTAGTCAATATCCGTTTAAAGCTAAAACTGCACTGAAACTCAACTAAAACTGCGCTAACTACTTCCATTGAATTTTGAAATGGTGAGGCATTACTGTATTTGAGGTGAAATGATCCACCTGTAAACTTTGAAACGGGAAAATCCATAGCTGAGAAATTTGCTCTGGGAAAAACCCAGAGAATTTTCTCAATACCTTGTATATGTCCAATGGCAAGAGTTTATGAATCTCTTCATTTTTGCTATAGTAAAAGAATCTTAATTTCTCTGTCCTCTCTTCTCTCTTCTCATTACCTACGAAAAAAATTATGGCAAAATGGTAGGTTTTCTGGATTTATTTATTTATTTTTTGCAGTTCTGATATCTGGAAGACTCTTAAAGACTTCAGCTGTAGGATCATGGAAGCATTTGACGCTTCATGAAGCAAACCCGAAATGTATGACATGTCTAGTCTTTTTTCTAGTTTTATCTAGTAATCTAGTTTTTTTTATACTTTCTTTCTCACCTTAAAGCTAAATTTTGAATATCGGGATAAAAAACACGAGAAGGAACTTCAATTAGAGTTCCTCAATGAAATAATGTTAACGAAATAGGTTTCCCTTTGTGGAGAATATGACATTGCTGGATAATAGAAAAAGTATAATAAATCGTTTCAAATCTACCCGAACATCTTGCCGATGGAATTGTCCGAGTGATAAAAGAGGGAAACTTAGCTTTTCTTTGAATGCGATATGAAAGATCCTAGGAAAATATACCACTTCATTCTTTTGTCGCTCGCCCTTTACACTTTCTAGGAAATTTCCTGCTAGAGACTGATTATGATCAAATTTACCTACTGGCGTTCATCGTCTCTCATTGTTTGTCACGCTACCTTTGATTTTCGCGTCTCACCTGAATTTTCTCCATTCGAATGTCTTTCAGGACGATTTCTCCCATGTCTTTCAGCTTCTTTGCGGTTTGAAAGACGAGATCTCGATGTTCCATTTTGCCGAATGTGGCGATGATGACACGCGGAGCAGGACCAGGTGTTTCCTCTATTAGGGCTCGTTGGGAACCGCCAGGTGGGAGCTCTTTCTGGGTCCGAGGTTGACGACCGACCTCCAAAATTGACATCCCCTCGACCTGGGGCTGGGGGAGGTGAAGGTCCTCTAGTAGGAAACGACGGAACACGGCTTCACATTTTTCGTCCGCTTCTTCCTGTATTCCATGGAAGAGGAGGTTCCATTCGCGTGTCTCCTGGTTCGTTTTCGTTCCCGGGTCCTCTTGGCTTATTTGCGCAAACACTTGGTCTTGCATGGATTTCATCATTCTGAGGTCTTCTTCGTGTTCGAGGGAATTCTGAAGATTCTGCACAGTTGTAGCAATAGTTGAAATATTTTGCTTGCTCGGCTGATCCACTTCTTTCTCGATGTTAGCCAGATTCGAATCTACAGCTAGTTGCAGTGCTGCTATCCTTGATCTGAGATCTAGAATCTGGTCCTGGGTTCTCTGTGCAATATCTTGGATTTCTCGTCCCATCTGCGAGTCTGCAGCTCCCTCCCTTTTAGACATGGTTGTGAAGCGTTACCCACACCGAGACGTGAAGCTGACTCTCCTCCGAAGCCCGATTTCTCGTCTCGGCACCCGTACCAGATCTTCAAAGCACTTTCTCATCACATAAGCCTCGACACTGAATCCCCACCGAGCGGGCAAGATCGAGCCTCGCTCAATCGTCAGTTGTAACATGGGAACCTTTCACTGGGGTCCGAGATACTGCTTATCTACAACGATAATAAACGGTATCTCAGGCTTTCACCTTTTTCCCTTTTCAGAAATACCGAGAGCCGGAAATGGATTTCCATCATTGGGTGAGAGGAATTCCATCGTATACATACATACGTACATGCATAGAGTGAACTCTGGTTATACGGCCATCCTCCCACATCGCCAAATCTTTCCCATCAGCTGAAAATCGGTGATACCCCATCGAAAGGCGTACCACTTCGAGCAAATTCGAAGACATCCTCCCCGTGATAGGAATAACTTTGGACGCTTTCGAGTTGGAAATGGTCAGTCCAATATCAGCGCAGACATGTAGTACCTTTCTGCGCCTTCCCTTCGATGTGAATTCAACGAAACGGCTCTTCACCCCAATCCAGGTGATGCAATCATTCTCAACTTGCGCGTTGGAGTCTATCGCAAAGACGATTTAGCTGGTAGACCCACCTTCGAAGGGGAAAATCGACATTAAGGGGCACGGTAATCCAGGAAGCGACGTATCGACCTACTTTTGGACGGCCTACTTTTGGACGAAAATAAGAAACTGATTATTTAGAAAATCGATGTTGCACGCTGAAAAAAGCGGTACCTCGCTCGAAAAGGAACTTTCGCCCGATTGTGTTCGTTTCCGTAAAGCACACAGAAAAGGTGAATTCCATCTTACTGAGAATCACTTATGAACTTCAGGCGTATGTGCGCACGATTCTGGGAGTGTGCTGTTTTTGGTGATTTCGCAGTCTCCAACTTGTTATTAATTATGCGCCAACGTCTTCATTGCTGATAAAGCGATGGTATCAGACGAAATAGGCAAATGTGGTCACACCACAGGACATCCCGTCCGCCGCCATTAAAATGATAAATTTCCGCGGACTTCCCAGCCTGGGATGTCGACATCGTCACCCTTTGGACCGCAAGATACAAGGGAGGAAACGTCTCATCCTGCCCAGTAAGTTCCGGCTTCCTCGGTGGACGATTTATAATCTCCACATTCAACCCACGTCCACATCAGTCCGGATTCACGATGGGCCCCAAGGCGTTCCCCCTCCTTTCGACCCGAGTCATGACCGTGCTCCTCTGCTTCGGAATCCCCTCTGGCATGCCTCGTGCTCTCCCTCCATCGTCCACGGCAATGGCTCTCCGTGAGTTTTCTCTTCATCACGAATGTTTTCTTTTCGTCTCGAAAGGTCCAGAATAGGGTGACGATAGTAATGAAAAACGTCGGAACGTACTTTCGACACTCCCCAAAAGAACCTTCATGAAAACCCCACACCTTAAGGAACCACCTCTCGTTCTGCTCCATTGGAGGACTTAGGTGGACATTTAATAGGGTAATCGAGTCATATAACTTCCATTGAATCCCGTGTAGAGGATTCAATTTCCTTCTCCACTTGTGATCCAACTTCCACAGGAACACAGAAATTTCAATCAACATCTGGACATTGAATCAGCATCTAATCAATGTTGATTCAATGTATTGTGGCCCTCGTGTTGCTCCCCCCCCCCATATGACTCTCTTTCCGAGTTCATTATGCAGAATTCGAGAAAGACTGGTCAATCGTTATGAAATCACCAATCTCGCAAGATGAGATGAAATGTGCAAGGCTTCTATTCATTACCAATAGGCTTTCTTCGCGAGTTCCTGATTGGCTTATTGAATACAGCAATTTTCATTCAGATAATCAGGATGAAATGTTTGAACGAAACAGTTAATGAAAATATCAACTCAGAATCTCCGCCGAAGTATCATTTTCAGATGTGGGTTATCATTTCAAAATTTGTTCTGTCAATAATCTTTGGTTGAAGCAATATTTCGACATCAGCGGGGTTCCTAATATATATCCTGGAGATGGAAAGGCGTCACTTGTTCTTTTCCAATTTTTTTCTCCGGGTTTTGTTTTGGTGTGAAGCACATAAAACATTACGTGAAAATGCATAATTTGGGCATGTGGATGTACTACAATGATTTCTAGTGTGCTTAACTTCGGATGCCTTTATCTTTTCTCCATTTGTCAGAGAGATTAATAAACCTTGAAGTACCACCCTACCATAATTCGCCCCGAAGAGACATAAAAAAATTAGGTTTTTTTATTTACTCAGCAATCCATCAGGTATTTCGTAGCCGTTGCAACTTTCCTTCTCTCTCTGCTTCGTTCGATCAAGAAAGATTCGAGAAAATGCGCCTCTTGTAAAAAAAAAAATGTACTATAAGGGGTTTTACCTAAAAAGTGAATTTTTTTTACAATCTATCTCTCATTTGCAGTTTCAGACAATAGGACAGAGTCAAAACAAGAAATGGCGGAACCAAGCACGACTCAGAACGCGTGCACCACGACGAGCAATGACTTGGAAGACTTGGCCCGGTGCGTCCAGTACTTGAATACCCGTCTGGAGGATTTGTCGAGCCGTTTCAAGCGATCCATGGAGGGCACCGACTCTCGAGATTCCGAGCGAGTTTTCATTTACGACTGGCGAGTCCCTGCGGAGTCAATGGAAAATTACACACTGGGAGAGAGATTGACCTCCGAAAGATTCTACATCTCGCCCGGCGGTTACCGGATGTTCCTGACGATGTACCCAACGGGAGACGCGACGAAGGACGACGCCTACCTGCCCTACGTGAACCTCTTCGCCGGCATCGCCCGCGGCGTCCACGACGACCACCTCCTCTGGCCCTTCGTCCTCGAGTATCACCTGATCCTGGTGGATCAGACGGAGGATCATCCTCTGGACGCGGAAGTCGCGGTCAATCCCCGCCGCAACTGCATGGATAAGGGAGCCATCGGAAACGGGTTCCAGAAACCCGTCAACGTTTTCAGTGCGAATTTCGGATGCGGCACGAGGGTTCTCATCGAAAGGAAGAATATATTCACGAGGAATTACCTCAAGGACGGACACCTTGTCTTTCGGCTCAAGGTCATGTTGCCGTAGCAGCCAGATTTCATGTCCTCAAGGATATATTTCCGCTTTGGAGAAAAAATAAACAAACAAAAAGCGTTACAAACGAACATTCTTGCTTCGCGGTTCGTTCCGAAAGTGCGATTGTTACAAGTTACCATGTCTCATGTGCCAAACGAGGATATGTCCCCTTGGGGTGAATCAGTCGCGTTTCCGGAGTTGATAGGTGGTCTCAGTCGGCGCGCAAGTGACACCTAGTTCTATCTTCGTTTTATATTATATATTTTTGGAGAATGAGATGATTTTCCTCAGAATCAGGACCCCTGAAAATTTATTTGAATCATTTCCGTAATTGTCACGTTTTGCACGCTCACGGGCACAGAATTGTAAGTTAACTTCTGGAGGTCTGGGTTCATTTGTCACTTTATCTTTACGAAAAACAAAATGGAATTTCCATCGAATCAAAGGGGAAACATAAGGGATTATAAGCACGAAAAATTCACAGTTTTCCGCGACGCTCCTATTGGGAACCTATGGAGTACCCGTAGGATCACATCGGGGATCCTGTAGGATCCTTTAGGAATTCTACAGGATTCTCCCTAGTATCCTTTGTGTTCATGTTTCGAAATAATTCAACATGGGTTCATTTCATCGCCCTTCTCAAGACGTAGCTATGTACGATCTCAATCTAGTTACGTTCAAGCATCACCTTGACAATGCAATTTGCGGCTTTCAACCCCGTTTTTCAGAAAGACAAATTAGTGATATTCCAAATGAGCAATATGTCCCAAACAGACACGGAGAGAATAAATAAATAAACCCCAGAATGTGCGATCACGTGGTGGCCGTCAACCTCCTCGTCCAGATGCATATTCTGGGAACTTTCGATCGGGGAAGTCTCTCACTTGCCCTATCGATTTGTGGGTTGGTTGATTTCTACAATAAACGCGTGCAACTCAGGTTGAACCGGGAATGAGGAACTTGAATTCAACAAGCGCATTTTTAGACTTTTGTACGTCAAGAGGGCGTTGAAGCTCCCGGAGGTGGAAGCTTTCGACGGTATTGGCTGCGCTTCCCATCGGGTTCGGCGAGGCGATGCCACGGCGGAAAACCGCCGTTTCGATGTCCGGCGGCGATCCCTCTCCGCATTTATCGCAACCTCGCTGCAACTTTGCGGCGACGCGATTGTACTGGGAAAACCCATCTCCGCTCGATATTTTTTGTGATGAGAGAACGCGGCGGGAGGCAGCCATTTGGCAAAAAGCTCAGATTCCAACATTTTATTTCAAAATTAAGTCTGCATTAACATAGTTTTCTCATGAACAAAGTGATATCTTCTATGTTTTACTGCTGAAGAAAAATCGATTGCAATGAATTGGAAGAAATCAATGCTGAGATTACTCCTGCAGTTGTAATTTCTCTGAATAGTAAGCGTTCGTGAAACGACACATTACTACCTGTATAAGGGCTCAGGGAATGGGTAGTATGCGCTGCCACCGATGCGAACCAAGGGAACTCTAATTCAAACGGATACAACTCTCCCTTAGGAGAGAGGATCATAAAAAAAATACGAACGAAACGCAATTATTAGGTCACGACACGCAATCATCAGCGTCGCGGCGTCCATGGAGACTCGCAATGAGGGAAGGACGTTCGTTCGTCGATCGGCGAACCATAATTATCATTTATAATTCATGTTTCATCTGTCATCATTTTCAGATACCGTCGTACATCCGGAATCTGGTTCTTTGGTCACTTCTCAATTGCCCTTTGACGAAGAAAACTTACCTTCAGTTATTTACTAACAATTAGGTACCAAACAGCCCTCCGACGAGCCAAACGAGAGTCACCGAGAAATCCCCGCAAAAAATTCAATGTATGAAATATTGGATGGCGGGGTGAAGCTGGAAAATCTGCATCGAGTTGCAGTTTATGAATACATATCTCTACTCCAATGAGAATTGAACGAAAATACTTATTCATCTACCAAAGTAAGGAAATAGTCACGGAAGTCACCTCGAGGAAACAAATGTAGACGTTAATTGGAGGAACATCGGCTTGGTTCTCTGGCTCGGCACACCGTCATTGCCGCGAACAACATTAATAAACTAATCGGCCTGTGTGTCTGCCTGAGCTCCCTTCACATTACATGGAAGGGGGCGCGGTGATGGCAATCATAACGAAAATCCTCTTTCTGTTCCTCCGTTGGGATCCGTCGATCGATATTGGAAGCGACGAAAGCGCCCACGTGAAGAGACCGTCCTCGAGGCTGCTGCCTCCCGCGCCGACGGGTCGCGCTGGGCCTCACCCCGAGACGGTGTGGTCGGCGGAGTTCCTTCTCTTCCCGATGGGCTGATACACAGATACACAGATACACAGATACGTTTATGGGCCATTTTGGGGGAGAAATTACTGAAGTAGCCAAGGATTAAATTTTATCAGGAAACTTTGGGCTGCGCCCAGGCCGATCGCATGCGGATCGAATCACATCGCGTATTTCCATGTGATCTTCTGGTCATGTTCATGCACTTTACATTGAGATCACGTGGAGTGCCGTTGGTGGCAGACCATGAAATTCCCTTGACATTACGGTCCTTTGTGACTCAGTGACGACACGAGTCACTCCTTTGTTCGCTCCCAATTCCATTAGAATTTAAGTTTTTCCGAGGGGAAATCACATGCTAGAACACATGCGTTTGAAATGCGAAAAAAACATGATATATAGCATCATATTCTGGCTGGGGAAGCAGGGAAAATAAGGACGGACAAATACTAGGAAACCCTAAAGAACCTCGCGTGAGTGAAGGAGAAAGGTCATGGAAGGAAATAAGGGCAAGTGGTGATTATGGAGCATTGGCAGCGCTGGACCTAACATTCGTTATATCTGTAAACATGCATTTACGATCGGTGCAAGAGAAAAGGTCTATTGACATTCATGCCTTACTATTAGTCACAGTTGGTGCAAAGAAGCAGGAGCGGTCTATCCGACGCGCAATCAAAGGGAACTCGAATATTTGCAGACTACTCTGGGTCTAATTCTCGCATAGTCCTACCCTTGCATTCCTTCGCACCCATTTCTGATTCTGATTCTCTTTACAGACTCGATCCGAGACAGTTGATCGACCGACACGCCTTCCTCGAGGAAGAGACCAAGAGAAAGGGGAAAAAGCGGCCGTTCACCACGGAGTCAAGGAAGGAGAAAAGGCTCATCTCGAGGACGTACGGCTAGAGACCGTCGGCCCTGTCACCTTCAGATTTCTCGACAGATTTACCGGATGTGTGAGTGGTCTTCCATTCTAGATTCTTTTACACTGACCCAAACTCACGCGTAAATTAAAATAATGAATGCCCAATTCGACCGGTTTCTCGTTCACAATTATTATATTTTCTTCATATCGGATCATGGATTCTTTTTCTGAATATTCTAGCAACTTCATGAACAAAAGAAAACATATCCCCTGAGGAAGACTGTGCTCTTCCAATGTCAACATTTTCCAGTCATTGTTAATAGGAAAGTGTTAAAGGAAAGCACTACCTCTGAATGTAATGATGCTATTAGCGCGTTGATATAACGCGTAACGCACCCAACACATCTTCATCATATTTAGTCAGCCTCATGCAAAAAAAAACATTATTTAGGCATGAGGAGTCCAACAGGAACTCGATCATTGACCTATGACTTTCATCGATATTCACCGTCACCAAAAAGACAAGAACAGGGAGAACCAAGACGATGGACCTTCAGATTCTAAATGCGCCTTGTTAATGCAATATGTAGAATCGCGTGAAAGGAGGAGAAACGGGAAATAAAGGATGTCGGCAATCACTGAGAAACCCTAACGACCCTAATGGGAGTCACGGAACAAGGTCCTACGTTATGAACGTAGACGTTCATTTACGACTGATGTCAGAAAAAAGGCCCCATTACGGTAGTGCCTCATATTAGTAACTAGCAAGTTTTTTTGGGTATTTATTGCAGCTCAAGCCTATCTGTTTTAATGTGACTTCTGCACTTGCATGTCCGACGCCAATTTGTCGATGTCTGGTTGCAGGTTAGTTGTGGCCAGTCGCATCAGGCCAGCTAGGTTCA